CGTCTTATCGCGAATCATTAATTACCATGAAATAAAGCAATAATAATGAGATGCGTTCCCAAGTGTGACTTTTTCATATCTTTTGTGTGGCTTTTTACCCTCTTTCTCCCAAAAACAATACAATAAATGAAAATTGCAAACTATATTCTTTAAATAATGTTTCTGAATGCACCTTATACAATATAAATGAAGAATAATATGGTTACACAAGAGGAGATCGGATGCCATTGTTTTCGTTTGTGTTTACAGCAGGGAGTAAGGGACGATAGTTCTACACGAGAAAATTAAGAAAATAAGACCCTGGTTGTAGCTGTAGTAAAATGAATATAAAAAAAATGAATATAGTATATGTTTTAAGTAACGTTAATTAATGTTAATAGAAGTAGCTAACCACTAATGGCAAAGAAAAAAAAAGATGGATTGGGAACGCCAACATACAGTATACGTACGTGCGCATTTAAGGATACCGCGTCACTTATCTTTTTAAGAATATGTTCAAAAGATTCATTATTGTTTATTACTGAATATATATTTGATTGAATTAATGTTTATGTATGTGAAATGAACAATGCAATTCATTAATAATACGTAGAATATTAAAACACACGATAAGAGGCGGAATTGTCAGTTTTTACACACATAATGTCAGTTATCCACCTAAAACTGAAGAAAATAAGACCCTGATTGTTATTGCAGTTAAATTAATGTAAAAATTATGTATGTTTTAATTAATGTTATTTAATGTACAGTGAAAGAAACCATTGATATTAAAGAAAAAGGGAGACTGATAGTGGAACGCCAATGCATACAGTACGTGCGCACTCAAGGAAACATAGTCATTTATCTTAAGAATATGTACAAAAGATTCATTATTGTTTATTACTGAATATGTATTTGATTGAATTAATGTTTATATATGTGAAATGAACATTATAATTCATAAATAATACGTAGAATATTAAAACACACACGAAGAGACAAGACGGCATTGTTTTCGTGGACGATGGTTCTACATAAAAAAACGAAGAAAAAATAAGACCCTGGTTGTAGCTGTAGTGAACTTAATTTAAAAAAATTGAATACCTGTATGCATGTTTTAAGTAATGTTATTTAATGTTAATAAATGGAACACTAGAAGTAGCTAACCACTAATGGTAAAGAAATAAAGCGAGACGATTGGGAATGCCAACGTATGAACACTAAGTGCGTACATGTGAAAACATATTGTCATTTTTCTACATATGAATATGAAAGCAACACTTATTACTATTCATATATGTTTTAAATAATATTTATGAATGTAAAACAAAAATTCTACTCACCAATGGTGGTAAAGTCTAAAACATAAGGACAGCCAATGAATATTGTACGAGTTTTTACCCAGATGACGAAGTCATCAGGTTCAACTCTGGCTGAAGCTGTAGCTTTCCATAAAGCTGTTACTGAAACTGTTACTGAACCTGAAGTTGATGTTGAAGCTGCATATGATGCTGAATTTGATGGTGTAGCTGAAGTTGATGGTTTAGGCCTTCAAATAATTAAGCTGTCAAAAGAACCTTGCACAGCTGCTTTCTTTTCTCATTATACATCTTTATGTAGAGGTCATTTGCATTTATTTAAATTTTAATGCTTGTTCTGTTAATGGATCCACTTCAGAAGATATGTTCATTGCTTGCTCCATAGCTTTTGAACCAACACTACCATCACTTGCTCATGTTGAATAGGGATACAAAAATGCTAAAAAGCTGTAAGAAACCTGAGAAAGTTTTTCTCCTGTTCCTGTTCTAGATGCGTGAAAACAAAAGGCACGCCAAGCTCCGACTGTTGTTTACCACTCATTAGGCAGGCAGCTTCTTTGCGCAAGGCGCTCTTCATTTTTTTAGTCATTTTGGTTTTTTGTTTACCGTATATCTCGGCCTACAAGACGGAATTTGAACAAAAAAAAAATCAGCCCAAAGTTAGGGGGTCGTCTTAAGCACCAGAGATAAAATTCTTACCTCTTAAATTTTGCGGTTTAGCGTGTCAAGAGTGGTGATGGAAACATGGTAAACCACTCACAAGGTCCTACCACTAATTATTTTATACTGAAACTTACATTTGGGAAGCTGGATTAAAATGAAGATTACCGGTATATTAAAATAATAAAAATGTATTATAAACCAGTCTAACATACCGTAAAAGAACAATATACCCCGGTAATAAACACAGCTGCTATCATCACCCCCCCCCCCATTTGCCAGTGACGAGAAAGGGAAAGCGACCTTGACAGTGACCGCCTGTGGCTATTTTTAGCCGTCCTTGTGTTCGGAGGTGGTCAGTAATGCATATCTGTATATTTACTGATCATAATACTTATCTCCTATAAATAATTAATTTAAAATTAATTTTTTTACAAAGAATATTCAGTAAATGACTGCGTTAATTCTTGAAACTACCGACAGTGGTAAATTTAGGATGAGAATGATGAACAGAAGTCACGTCATGGATTCGGAGTTTGGTCCTTAATGATCATAAATGTCTGGTCAACTTCACCTACCAGGTATAATGGTAGCCTTCCTTTTTCGCGAAACAAGTATATAATTAAAGAAAATACTTGCAGTGTGTTTAATGTATTACAATATATTATAGCTAAATAAATAAACAAATAAATCGGCAAATCTATTTCAAGTAAATGGAAATATTTTACTCACACCAACATTAGTTCCAGTTAAATAACTGACGCTTAAGTGAGTCACTAGTGTATACCAGCGGGTAAAATTTGATGCCAATACTTGAAGTGAATTAGCATTATTTTAAATAACCAACCATAAATAAATGGAAAAAAGATCAAAGGTGAAACATTATATTGTATGTATGTTGTGTTGTCAAAGGAAGAGAAACAATTGAAACTCAGCAATTGTGTGTAAATGAGGCAGTAAGATAAATCAGCAACATAAGACTTGGTCACAATTTTCGTGATGCCATATGGAAGTAGGGTCTACCATTAGACAATACTGTACTGTACATTGTGCTTCCAATATCTTCCCAGGCGGTAGTATCTCCCTGTTTGGTAGCTGCCTAAAACTTTTAGTAATATTACTTTGATACAACATGATAAATTAGACAAACAATGAAAATAAACAAACAAAATTTATTTACCAAGACCTTCTCTCTCAGAACAGAGGGGAGATAAGACGGCTATTTATAGCCTGTCTTTGTGTAGGAAGTCGACCACACTAGAAATAATTCATTTAAAATTTATATTTTTTACATAGAATATTCAGTACATGACTGCAATTATAAAATATTGTGAATATATATATATATATATATATATATATATATATATATATATATATATATATATATATATATATATATATATATATATATATATATATATATATATATATATATATATGTATATATATATTTGTGTAATAAATGTATGTAGTAAGTATGTACAGTAATCTTTTTCACTCAAATCCTAATGAAACACTATTGAATTAGAATACTGTAGCTCGCTGAAGCAAGCTTATAAATTAAAGAAAATACTTCCAGTGTGTTTAATATATTACAGTATGATATAAATAAACAAATAAATCGGTAAATCCATTTTAAGTAAATGAAACAATTGTATTCGACACCGACATTAGTTCAAGTTAAATAACAAACTTTTAAGTGAGTCACTAGTGTTTACACTACACCAACCAGTAAAATTTGATGCCATTACTTGAAGTGAATTGGCTTTATTTTAAAAAACCAAGGATGTGTAAACAGCACTGGTCAATGGGATGGTTGGTAAAGGACTACTGGGTCAGTAAGCTCCCAATGGTAAGTGTCACATTTGGGGTACCGGTCTTATACAGCGAATAGGGCTCAAAAGCTACTTTTTAAATGGAAATTTTGGGGGCCGTCTTATACACCCCGTCGCCTTGTAGGCCGAGATATACGGTATAATACATATCGGAATTTAGTTAGTATTTATATGAAAATGTAATTTTATTTTATTTTTATTATATTTTGGTCATAAATACTAATTAAATATGGACGTAATTTGAATTGGGTCCTAAATCACCTAGGGTTTTAAATATGAAAAATTGTTGGTCGAACCATTGTTATCGGAGGCTTTACTGTACTTTAAATTTACATTATTTTATTTACCTGATGACTTATATTTTACTTTCGTTTACTGTATTTTCTCATTCAAAAGCTCCTCCCCGACTTACAACCTATTCGACTTATGTTCACCCGCACTTACGACCTGCCTCAGTCGTACCAAAATTGGTCAAATTATGTATTTTCAAGTCCAAAAGTCAGTACACAGACAAAATTTTCATTTGTAATTCACTTTAAAATGACTGGCAAGCTTAAAAGTGAGTGTTTTGTGGTGCTGAGAAGAAAAAGAGACCCCCATTTTAGATTTTCTATGTATTATTTAAGCATTTCCGACTTATGACCATTTTGACTTACGACCTCAATGTCGGTCCCTAACCCCGTCGTAAGTCGGGGAGCAGCTGTATTTCTTCTTTACTCTTAAATTAAGTGATTGTAGATGCATATAAGGACTTAGGTTTAGATATAGTCGGATTTTAAACATTGTTCTGTAAGTACAATAAGAACATACCTTGTGTTTCGACTCGAGTATATTTTCAACTTAAGAACGTCCTCAGGAACACAACCCGTCAGTGGTTGGACGGGCAATAATGTTGTTCTTTCCTTAAGTCTCGGATGCTCTGGGTCCTACAACATACTTTACAACAACCAATAAATTAAAACTCAACCTGAAAATCTTTGATTAATTTAATGGAGGGTTACTTTAAGTTACTTATAGTTACTTTAAGTTACTTATAACAGGTTCATACCAATAATGTTTTAGTGCCAGATCATCGTAGCACAAACACACACACATATATCAGAATCCTAGATAAAGAACTATAGCTGTAATGATCAGCTAAAATACATCCACAACATGTACAGTACATGAGATTATATTTTTTGGGGGTTGAAAAACAATTGTGAATGATTCATATGGACTTATTTTATTATGGTTTTCATGGACAATAATAAACAGCCTAGTTCCCTACGTCACTATCGGTATACTTGTCAATTTCTGCCAGCAGTAAGTCACATTTCCCAATCATGATATTCACGGACTCCTCAAGAATTTCAAAACTCTTCAGTGCACTGTGTGATTCTACATAAACTGAAATGAAAGAGGAAAATAATCAATAACTATAATTAACTTTCTTTACTTTTAAGATAGAAAATATGATATCAGACATAAAAACACTTAAGAACAGTTCCAAGAAATGTTGTCCAAGCCTCGTGAGCTTTAACTTCTATGAAGGTCAAATTATTTTCTAAAATAATATTGTATATGAATTATTATTAACCCCTTAGCTCACAACAAAATTTTCTAAGCATGACTCATATTTTTAAGGTTTGAAATAGTTTCTTATAGGGAAATTAAGCCGTAGCTGGTAGTCTGATATATGAATGGTTAAAACGTCATTGGCGTTCCTGGTCGACTCGTACATAATATGAACGGGACGACCAGGAAAGCCAATATATGGTCCTTAATAACATTAGTACATGAAAACAGGAATTTTCTTCTGATGGATCCTATGGTTGTATTTTGATATCTGACAACCACCATCCACCACACCCATTAACTCTCATTAATTTGAGTAATGTTAAATACAAATTGGAGAATTTTGAGATTAACAATATTTGTAACCAGGTGAAATGGTTGGGTCAATATTTATTGACTTGAATATGGTGGACACCAGCTGTCCTTAGGGTCTTGATCTAACTCTTCTTTACTGTACATATTAGACTTATAAATAATTACAGTATTTCTTAGTCTGTACTCACCCAAGGATATGAATTACATGAAAGATCTTGGGAACTTCATGTTTTCTATGTGGTTATCACCATATACAGGGAGGCGCGCCGCACGCACGCGCACACGCGCACACACATGCGCACACACACGCGCACACACACGCGCACACACACACACGCACACACACACACACACACACACACACATATATATATTTTCATATACATGTAGATCCGCGATTTTTCCTGCAGGATTTTATAAAAAAAAAAATATATATATATATATATATATATATGTATGTATGTGTGTATGTATGTATGTATGTATGTATGTATGTATGTATGTATATATATATATATATATATATATATATATATATATATATATATATATATATATATATATATATATATATATAGTATATATATATATATATATATATATATATATATATATAAGCACAGTATTACCTCACTTAACGTGTTTCACTTAATCTGCTTTATCATATAATGATGTGCTCGCCAGAGCTGAACTTTCACTTAACACGGATTTTTTCCACATATACGCGGTGAGTGTCCGGCTCGAGACGCTATTTTTAGATTTGCCCCACCCGCCACCCTGCCTGACTGCCTGTTTTAGCTCATAAAATTCATACAAATTACCCGGCCAGAATATAATTTATATTGCTGGAATTCTTATAATTTGGTGATCATTTTGAATATAAACATCATATATTTTGCATTAGACATACAAATTTTAGATAAAAATTTTTCTCTGGTAACTATGTTATCTTTTGTGCAAAATATATGACATTTATATTCAAAATATTCCTGGTCTTACAAGGAATCCAGCAATGTCAATTATATTATCCTAACTTTAGTTTGAGGTATTATTTATTACAAAAAAGTTAAGTATTCTGGTTTGCCCACACATCTCCTTGGGACGGTTGGTGGGGGGTTCGGGGGAGGGAGGGACCGACCGACCATCTGTTACCCGTGAAGAATATTTTTTTTTTTTTATTAACTGAAGATATTTGTTTTAGCTCATAAAATTCATACAAATTACCCAGTCTGAATATAATTTACATTGCTGGAATTCTTATAATTTGATGATCATTTTGAATATAAACATCATATATTTTGCATTAGACATACAAATTTTAGATAAAAATTTTTCTCAGAGTAACTATGTTATCTTTTGTGCAAAATATATGACATTTATATTCAAAATATTCCTGGTCTTACAAGGAATCCAGCAATGTCAATTATATTATCCTAACTTTAATCTGAGGTATTATTTAATACTAAATGTTAAAAACTCTTGAAGGGAGGATTGGTGGGGGGTGGGGGGGAGGGTTGGGACTGACCGCGCGGTTGGAAGAGGGGGGGAGGCAAGGTGGGGTACTTTGATTGACAGATAGTGTCGTGAAGATTATTTTTTTTTTTATTAACTGAAGATATTTGTTTTAGCTCATAAAATTCATACAAATTACCCGGTCAGAATATAATTTACATTGCTGGAATTCTTATAATTTGGTGATCATTTTGAATATAAACATCATATATTTTGCATTAAACATACAAATTTTAGATAAAATTTTTTCTCTGGGTAACTATGTTATCTTTTGTGCAAAATATATGACATTTATATTCAAAATATTCCTGGTCTTACAAGGAATCCAGCAATGTCAATTGTATTATCCTAACTTTAGTTTGAGGTATTATTTATTAAAATTTAGTGGTTTTCCCCAAAAAATTTCTCAGAGAGGGAAGAGCCGGCAGTGTAGTGTGAGAGGGGGAGGGAGTTGAGTCCATTATTTGAATGGACATTAACTTGGCGACTGTATTTCTCTATTTCTCTTAAGTACTAATTGTGTGCATGTACCATCATAAAATTAAGATGTTATTTTTACTACAACATAGGTATGTGCCTTCAAAAAGTGGAGTTTGGGGGTCGGGCCGGTTTCTATTGGAATTAATCCCATATGTTCTGTTGTTCACTTAACACGGGACCCTCTGGGTTCTATTGACGCGTTAAGTGGGGTACAACTGTGTATAATATATATATATATATATATATATATATATATATATATATATATATATATATATATATATATATATATATATATATATATATATATATATATATATATATATATATATATATATATATATATATATATATATATATATATATATATATATATATATATATATATATATATATATATATATATATATATATATATATATATATATATATATATATATATATATATATATATATATATATATATATATTATATATATATATATATATATATATATATATATATATATATATATGTATATATATATTTGGGTGGTGTTGAGGGTGTGTGTGTGGTGGTGTTGGTGGGTGTGTGGGTGGTGGTGTTGGGGCAGTGTGTGGGTGGTGTTGGGCTGTGTGTCGGTGGTGGTGTTGAGGTGTGTGTGTGGGTGGTGGTGTTGGGGCGTTGTGGGTGGTGGTGTTGGAGGTGTGTGTGGGTGGTGTTGGGGGTGTGTGTGGGTGGTGGTGTTGGGGGTGTGTGTGGGGTGGGGTGGTGGTGTGTGTGTGGGTGTGTGGTGTTGGAAGGTGTGTGGGTGATGTTGGAAGGTGTGTGTGTGATGTTGAGGGCGTTGTGGTGTTGTTGAGGGTGTGGGATGATGTTGGTGATGTTGGAGGGTGTGTGTGGGTGATGTTGGAGGGTGTGTGGGTGGTGGTGTTGGAGGGTGTGTGTGGGTGGTGGTGTTGAGGGTGGTGGTGTTGGAGGGTGTGTGTGGGTGGTGGTGTTGAGGGTGTGTGTGGTGGTGGTGTTGAGGTTGTGTGGTGGTGTTGGAGGGTGTGGATGGTGGTGTTGGAGGGTGTGTGTGGGTGGTGGTGTTGGAGGTGTGTGGTGGTGGTGTTGAGGGTGTGTGTGGGGTGGTGGTGTTGGAGGGTGTGTGTGGGTGGTGGTGTTGGAGGGTGTGTGGGTGGTGGTGTTGGAGGGTGTGTGGTGGTGTTGGAGGTGTGTGGTGGTGTTGGGGGTGTGGGTGGTGGTTGGAGGGTGTGTGTGGGTGGTGGTGTTGAGGGTGGTGGGTGGTGGTGTTGAGGGTGTGTGTGTGGGTGGTGGTGTTGGAGGGTGTGTGTGGGTGGTGGTGTTGGAGGTGTTTGTGGGTGGGGTGTGTGGTAGTGTTGGAGGGTGTTTGTGGGTGGTGGTGTTGGAGGGTGTGTGGGTGGTGGTGTTGGGAGGTGTGTGTGTGGTGGTGTTGGGGCGTGTGTGTGGGTGGTGGTGTTGGGGCGTGTGTGTGGGTCGTGGTGTTGGGGACGTGTGGGGTGGTGGTGTGGGTGGTGGTGTTGGAGGGTGTGTGGGTGGGTGTGGAAGGTGTGTGGTGGGTGATGTTGGAGGTGTGTGTGGGTGATGTTGAGGGCTGTGTGGGTGTTGGTGGAGGGTGTGTGTGGGATGATGTTGGTGATGTTGGAGGGTGTGTGTGGGTGATGGAGGGTGTGTGGGTGGTGGTGTTGGAGGGTGTGTGTGTGGGTGATGTTGAGGGTGTGTGGGTGGTGATGTTGAGGTGTGTGGGTGGTGGTGTTGGAGGTGTGTGTGGGTGATGTTGAGGGTGTGGTGGGTGATGTTGGAGGGTGTGTGTGGGTGGTGATGTTGGAGGGTGTGTGTGGGTGGTGGTGTTGGAGGGTGTGGTGGTGGTGTTGGAGGGTGTGTGGGTGGGTGTTGGAGGGTGTGGATGGTGTTGGAGGGTGTGTGTGGATGGTGGTGTTGGAGGGTGTGTGGGTGGTGTTGTTGGTGGGTGTGTGGATGGTGGTGTTGGACAGTGTGTGTGTGGGTGGTGTTGGAGGGTGTGTGTGGGTGGTGGTGTTGGAGGGTGTGTGTGGATGGTGGTGTTGAGGGTGTGTGTGTGGGATGGTGGTGTTGGAGGGTGTGTGTGTGGTGTGTTGGAGGGTGTGTGTGGGTGGTGGTGTTGGAGGGTGTGTGTGATGGTGGTGTTGAGGGTGTGTGTGGGTGTGGTGGTGTTGGAGGGTGGTGTGGATGGTGGTGTTGGAAGGTGTGTGGGTCGTGGGTGTTGGAGGGTGATGGTGGTGGTGTTGAGGGTGTGTGGATGGTGGTGTTGAGGGTGTGTGTGTGGGTGGTGGTGTTGGAGGTGTGTGGTAGTGTTGGAGGGTGTGTGTGGTGGTGTTGGATGGGTGTGTGGGTGTGGTGTGTTGGTGGGTGTGTGTGGGTGGTGTTGGAGGGTGTGTGGATGGTGGTGTTGAGGGTGTGTGGGTGGTGGTGTTGAGGGTGTGTGTGGGATGGTGGTGTTGAGGGTGTGTGTGGGTGGGCGGTGTTGCAGAGTGTGTGGGTGGTGTTGGAGGGTTGTGTGGTGGTTGGGTGTGGATGGTGGTTGGGTGTGTGGATGGTGGTGTTGGAGGGTGTGTGGGTGGTGTTGGAGGGTGTGTGGGTGGGTGTTGGGTGTGTGGGTGGTGGTGGTGGGTGTGTGTGGGTGGTGGTGTTGGAGGTGTGTGTGGATGGTGGTGTTGGAGGGTGTGTGTGGGTGGTGTTGGAGGGTGTGTGTGTGGTGGTGTTGGAGGGTGTGTGTGGGTGGTGGTGTGGGGTGTGTGGGTGTGGTGTTGGAGGGTGTGTGGGTGGTTGGTGTTGGATGGTGGTGTTGGGGTGTGTGTGGATGTGGTGGTGTTGGAGGGTGTGTGGTTGGTGGTGTTGGAGGTTGTGTGTGTGGGTGGTGGTGTTGGAGGGGTGTGTGTGGGTGGTGGTGTTGGAGGGTGTGGTGGTGGTGTTGGAGGGTGTGTGGGTGGTGTTGGAGTTGGTGGTGGTGGTGTTGGGGTGTGTGGGGTGTGGTGGTGTTGGAGGGTGTGTGTGGATGGTGGTGTTGGAGGGTGGGTGGTGGTGTTGGAGGTGTGTGTGTGGGTGGTGTTGGAGGGTGTGTGGGTGGTGGTTGGTGTTGGAGGGTTGTGTGTGGTGGTGTTGGAGTGTGTGTGGGTTGGTTGGGTTGTGGGGTTGGTGTGTGGGTGGGTGTTGGGGTTGTGGGTGGTGGTGTTGGGGTGTGTGTGGGTGGTGGTGTTGGAGGTGTGGGGTGGTGGTGTTAGGGTGTGTGGGGGTGGTGGTGTTGGAGGGTGTGTGGGTGGTGGTGTTGGAGGGTGTGTGGGTGGTGGTGTTGGAGGTGTGTGGTGTGGTGGTGTGTGTGGGTGGTGGTGTTGGAGGGTGTGTGTGGGTGGTGTTGGGGTGTGTGGGGGTGGTGGTGTTGGAGGGGGTGTGTGTGGGTGGGTGGTGTTGGAGGGTGTGTGTGTGTGGGTGGTGTTGGAGGGTGTGTGTGTGTGGTTGGTTGGTGTTGGAGGGGGTGTGTGTGTGTGGTGTTGGAGGGGTGTGTGTGTGGTGTTGGGTGTGTGGGGTGGTGGTGTTGGAGGGTGTGTGTGTGTGGGTGGTGGTGTTGGAGGGTGTGTGTGTGGTGTGGTGTTGGAGGGTGTGTGTGTGGGTGGTGTTGGGTGTGTGTGGGTGTTGGGTTGTGTGGTTGGTTGGTTGGGTTGTGTGGTGGTGTTGGAGGTGTGTGTGGTGTTGGGGTTGGGTGGTTGGGTGTGTGTGGTGGTGTTGGGGGTTGGGGTGTGGTTGGTTGGGTTGTGGGTGGTTGGGTGTGTGTGTGTGTGTGGGTGGTGGTGTTGGAGGTGTGTGTGTGGTGGTGTTGGAGGGTGTGTGTGTGTGTGTGGGTGGTGGTGTTGGAGGGTGTGTGTGTGGGTGGTGGTGTTGGAGGGTGTGTGTGGGTGTGTTGGAGGGTGTGCATGGGTGGTGTTGGGTGTGTGTGGGTGGGGGTGTGTGTGTGGGTGGTGGGGTGTGTGGGTGGTGTGTGGGTGGTGTTGGGGGTGTGTGTGTGGTGTTGGAGTTGTGTGTGGGTGGTGTTGGGGTGTGGGTGGTGTTGGGGTGTGTGTGGTGGTGTTGGGGTGTGTGTGGGTGGTGTTGGGGGTGTGTGTGGGTGGTGTGGGGGTGTGTGTGGGGTGGTGTGGAGGGGTGTGTGGGTGGTATTGAGGGTGTGTGTGGGTGGTATTGAGGGTGTGTGTGGGTGGTATTGGGGTGTGTGTGGGTGGTGGGGTGTGTGTGGGTGGTATTGGAGGGTGTGTGTGTGTGGGTGGTATTGGGTGTGTGTGTGGGTGGTATTGGAGGGTGTGTGGGGGTCGTGTTGGGGGTGTGTGTGTGTGGTGTTGGGGGTGTGTGGGTGATGTTGTGGGTGGTGTTTAAGGTAAGCCATGAATAATGTTTCAAATGTTTCTATGTACAAATTTTTCTGAGGTGTCTCTGTAGGTGTGTGTGTATTAACAGAATTAATCTTGATTTAGCAAATTAGTTTATTAAATCGAGTGAAAAACAACAGAAAAAATTTATTTCCGCTAAATCAAGAATTCGTTATATCGGATTCCATTATATCGAGAGTATACTGTATCTTGAACCATCATCCTTGGGCATCAGAGTCAGAGCTAGTCTCCTCATCTTGTCTAATTCTTCAATGTTTGTACAATCATTATTTTCATTTTTATCATTACAACTTATGACAAATGGGAAAATGTATTTGGGATGCACCAAAATGTGGAGTCTGTGTAGGCATCATGGTGCATGTGCTTACGTGTTAGGCTGTCACTGGCAAGGGGGTATAAACGTGTCAATTGTTACAGAAATATGTAACTGTAAGCGCTCACGGACATGTACAGGTCTGTGAAAACAAGTACATTTATGGCCCAAGTAAACTCCACATTTTTTTTTTTTTTAAATGAACATACAGGGTACTCTAATTGGTTATGTGCCATATTTCTATTGCCACTTTTAAGGATGCATTACAGTACAGCTCCTCTCCGACTTACGACCTACTCGACTTACAACCACTCACACTTACGACCTGCCTCAGTCGTACCAAAATTTTGTCAAATTACGTATTTTCGATTCCCAACGTCAGTAAACAGACAAAATTTTTGTTTGTAATTCACTTTAAAATGGCTGGCAAGATTAAAAATGAGAGTTTTGTGGTGCTGAGAAGAAAAAGAGACACCCATTTTAGATTTTCTATGTATTATTTAAGCATTTTCGACTTACGACCTGGATTTGGGTCCCTAACCCCGTCGTAAGTTGGGGAGGAGCTGTACTTCATAATAATTTGGTGATTGTAAAAAACACATAAAAGACTTACAAATAACATGATCTGTTTTCCTTGTCAGCTTCACAGAGTCTTTGATACTGTCATACTGGAACACATTTCTGGAACAAGCATCATTGCGGGCATCGTTCACTCGTGCTACTTTCTTCCCTGTAAACCAAGTAGGATCCATTAAGAGTAGTTAAAGTAAGAAAATATAGACACGGTTATGTGGTGCATTGGAGAAAATAATTATAATTTAAGTTGTATGAGCATGGTGTTAAATGGTTTAAGGAACTTTAAAGTAAAGAGCTAATGTGTGAGAAGGTGAGTAACCAAGGGGAGATCCAGGAATATCAAAAAGGGGGTCCAAAAAGTTGTGAGTGGGGGGAACATGGCAAGCACAACGAGCCCACCCAGCTTGTTGAGGGCATTTTGAAGCCATGTGCACTTGATATTAGGAGATTTTCTGAGGTCAGTAGTAATTACTTTTTACAATACAAAAATGCCTGAGTACAATACTGCAATAAAGAAAAGGTTTTGGAAGTTTCTGATGAAAATAGACCCCCCCCCCCCCGGCTGGTAACAGTAGATTTATGTTTCCTCTTGATTCCAACGACACTAGAGCGTGGTGGGAAAAAGTCTTAGAAAAAAAGTAGGGGTTTCAGGGATACAAATCAGGTCCAGGGTTATAAGGGGTGTTTGTTTTTTTATTTGGGTCCTAAGTCAAACACAATTTGTGAAGTGTTGAGTTAAATAAAATAATCTTGAATTACACCTAGTGAACTTAAAATTTTATTGGTGAAACTACTGCACCAAGCATGGGTCCCCTGAAAGGTGATTTCTCCTCTATCCCCACTTCCTTCCCTTCTCCCTTCTCCTCCAGCCCCACTTCTAATTCCCATCATCATCATCAACCAGGAGCCTTCTACATACACACCTCAAAGTAAGTATACTTTACTGCATTTTTTTTTTACTTTGTATGTACTTTTCGGTGAGCTGGAACTAATTACCCAATATCCCATTGAAACAATGGATTCGGTTAACAAAATTTTCGGTTTACGAACGACCCTCTGGAACGAAATGCGTTCGTTAACCGAGGGACCACTTTGTGTGCGCACGCACGCAGTCACACACAGTAAGTCCTCGCTTAACGTCGGGGTTACGTTCCTGAAAACACGACATTATGCGAAACAACATTAAGCGGATCAATTTTCCTTATAAATAATAGATAAAATAAGGGAGTTAAGTTCCTGAGCCTCTCTTCGCCCCATGAAATACATTACATATACAGAAATTCAAAGCTCCTTGTGTGATGCCCAGTGAGGTGCTTGTATGCATTACTATAAAGTCACATTCATTGACATTTTATAAGAGAAAAACTTAAAACTCCACTACATGGCATAAATAAATACCATTAGGTAACTTTGGTTGGCTGGCAGGCTGACCCAGCCGTCATAATACATCACCTCCCCCTCCGACTTCTGGCAAGATTGAAGGTGGTTTAGGGTTAAAGTTTTTATCTTAACAGAATATAAATTACATTGCTGGAATCCCTTCAAGACAGCGAATAATATGAATATAGACATCATATAACTTTTGCACAAGAGATAAATATTTTAGTCCTTTAGTGTAGTACTGTACATGTTTTTTCAACTTATTTTTCGGTAGATATAGCAACTTTCTTAATTTATTTTTACTCATTTACATGCACACGCCATCCTAAATACATATTATGAAAAAGGTAAATGAAATATTTGTCCTTAGGGAGAGGGTGATGCACCGTAAGAAGTAGTCCGAGACGACACAAACGACTTCGTACCGAGTCACCGGGGCGTTAAACGAATTTTTGGTCTCTAAAGTTTAGCAACGTAGTACCAAAACAACGTTAAACGGGCCGACGATAAGCGAGGACTTACTGTATTGTAACAATGTCATGTGTTTCCTGCCACCTGAGAGTTCCCGCCAATTTCAAACCAACAGTATAAATGCCTTAGGCCTGTCTTCAACCAATGAGGAGGCCTATGAGGCATGATGTCAAGAAGTTGTCCCTCTGTGTCACTCAGTTTGAAAAAGTCAGTCTGTGTTGGAATTGTATTAGCCCCTTAGTTCTTATATAAATGTCAGGGCAGTACATTGGGTTTATAATCATATCACCCCCTGTAACTTTCTACTGGCTATGAGGTGACATGGTCACATCACGTGATGGGTAAGTTGCTTGAGGCGCAGCCCTAAGTCTGTTAAGGTCAGCATATAAAAGCCGGTTGCCTGCGGCATTGTCACTCAACCCCTCACACCAACCGGACGTATTTAGAAGAGCTATTTAATATAGCCTCTGTCCTCATTTAATACTCATAGCTACAGTGATTAAGTTATGGTGATATACACTTGGAACCAGGGCCAGCCTTAGGAGGTGCGGGACCCAATCGGGAACAATTTTGGTGGGCCCCAGGTTCCCAGCCAAGATCTGTAGAATCATAGAAATATAAATAAAGTCTATTATAGACTTCAGTGACTTCATATTTTAGATATATGGTTTACCGTATATCTCGGCTTATAAGACGGAATTTGAACATTAAAAAAATCTGCCCAAAGTTAGGGGGTCGTCTAAACCACCAAGTATAAAATTCTTACCTCTTAAATATTGTGGTTTAGTGTGTCAAGAGTGGTGATGGAAACATCGTAAGCCACTCACAAGGTCTTACCACTAATTATTTTATACTGAAACTTACGTTTGGCAAGCTGGATTCAAATTAAGATTACCGGTATATTAAAATAATAAAAATGTATTATAAACCTGTCTAACATACCGTAAAAGAGAATTATACCCCTGTAATAAACACAGCTATCATCACACACCCCTCCCCACGCCCCCCCATTTGCCAGTGAGGAGACAAGAAAGGGAAAGTGACCGCGAGATTGGGCTATTTTTAGCCGTGGAGGTGGTCAGTAATGCATATCGGTATATTTACTGATAATAATACTTATCTCCTATAAATAATTAATTTAAAATGTATTTTTTTACAAGGAATATTCAGTAAATGACTGCATTAATTCTTGAAACTACTGACAGTTAAATACAGACGCTTAAGTGACGTCACTAGTGTTTACACTACACCAGCTGGTAACATTTTATGCCATTACTTGAAGTGAATTGGCCTTATTTTAAGTAACTAACCATAAATAAATACAAAAAGTAAAAAAAAGATCAAAAGTGAGAAATAATATACTGTATGTATGTTGTGTTGTCAAAGTTAGAGGAACAATTCAAACTGCAATTGTGTGTAAATGAGGCAGAAAGTCAGGTCAGCGCTGAACCTGGGACTTGGTCACAATTTTCGTGATGCCATATGGCAGCAGGGTCTACCATTAGACAACACATTATGCTTCCAATATCTTCCCAGGCGGTAGTATCTACCTGTTTGGTAGCTGCCTACTACCTACACAATTTTTAGTAATATTACTTTGATACATGATAAATTAGACAAACAATGAAAATAAACATCAAATTTAATTACCAAGACGCTTCCCATTGGCAGCTGTAAGAAGAGGGGGAGATGGGCTATTTTTATCCCGTCTTTGTGTCTGAAGTGGCCAGTAATACCATATATTTACTGATCATAATACTTACCTCCTATAAATAATTAATTTAAAATCTATTTTTTACATAGAATATTCAGTAAATGACTTTTAAATAAATAAACAAATAATTCGGTAAATCTATTTCAAGTAAATGGAAAATAAGCAAACAAATGTTATTTACCACGACCCTTCCCTCTGGCTCAGGGTGAGATGGAGGGGAGATAAAGAAGGCTATTTATAGCCCGTCTTTGTGTCTGAAGTGACCAGTACCATAATGCACCATAAATAATTCATTTAATATATATATATATATATATATATATATATATATATATATATATATATATATATATATATATATATATATATATATATATATATATATATATATATATATATATATATATATATATATTTTCTTCACACGGTAACAGATGGTCGGTCGCCGGTCCCTCCCTCCCTCCCTCCCCCCCACCCCCCACCAACCGTCCCTACTAGATAAATGTGTGGGAATACCAGACTGTTTACCTTTTTAGTAATAAATAAGAAATCAGACTAAAGTTAGGATAATATAATTGACATTGCTGGATTCCTTGTAAGACCAGGAATATTTTGAATATAAATATCATATATTTTGCACAAAAGATAACATATTTACTCAAGAGTAAACATTATATCTAAAATTTGTATGTCTAATGCAAAATCTATGATGTTTATATTCAAAATGATCATCAAATTGTAAGAATTCCAGCAATGTAAATTATATTCTGGCTGGATAATTTGTATGAACTTTATGAGCTAAATAAAAAAATTATACTTCACCCGTGTAAAGGGGTACACCCACCGCGGAATGTGAGCATCCTGGGTTCTGGCAGGGCACCGTGTAAACGTGGAAACGTGGAATGTGGGACCGCGTAAAGTGAGGGTTGACTGTACAGTATTTAATATTAAAATGAAAAAATAGCTATAAAAACAATTAATACACCCGTAATGTACTGGCTGGCATCTCGTCCCTACTCCCGCATCCAAGGTCACCACTCCTCCCAACTCGCTCCCTCCTCCGCCTCCTCCACCTCCACTACTGCCGATAACAAACACAAATGTTTTGTGAATAACTGCACCTCCACTTCCTATGTACAGTACTGAACTGTACTGTGCTGTACATTTTTACAAACAATAAACATGGCAAGAAAAGCTATTAAAAAAAAAAGATAAAAACTTCACTTTACTGTACAGTTCCTATCCTCAGCGACAGGACGGGGGTCATTGGGCTCATCGTCACTCAATTCCATAACGGGTGGTGAAGTGGGGGCGACGGTGGATTCAGCTGCTTCCTCAATGCCGCCAGTGATTGGTGTTAAATCTCTCCTTCGGTGATCAAAGAACATGGTGATGGGGAGTTGTCATCTCTTTCATTCATTTCTTCCATGATGTTTTTGTATGGAGCGAAAACGTCATCCATCCCTCGCATGAATTTCAGGGCACGCACCATGGAGGGGTCCATACTATAGGCCAGGTTTTTCAGTGCCTCAATATTCCTGGTCATCTCCCCCAACTTCTCCAACGTTATTTCTTTCCCTTTCGCTTCCTCTTCCTTGCCAGAGTCTACTAACTCCTGTAGATCCTCCTCGGTCAGCTCAGTGTCGTGCTCTTCAATTAGCTCCCTAATCTCGTCCTCTGCCATGTCCCGGAAGCCTTCAGCAGCCACTTGCCTTGACAGTGCCAGGGTCTTTCTGAATATTTTCATTAAAATCCATCAAAATCATTTTCCTTGTCATCGTCTTAAGCACCAAACAGCTCCTCCCAGTCTTCTCCTTGAACAGGGCTAGAGGGTACGTGTTTTTCAAATCGTTTTCAATTAAAAAAATGTTACAGCACATGTATACTGTATTTTACCTAAACTGTGCCTGAATGAATATATTCTCAGAAATAAATAGTAGTTTTGCTGAAACGTGATGTATTTCAATGTAAAATAGGATAAAATACATGACGAAAACAAGAGACTTTACCTAACCTTCCGATGTTCAAGATTTGTTACTCGTTTTTTTAGTAGTTTTCAGTTAAAATACTCTTATATTAGTGATATTCTATTCATACTGTGCTTGATACAATACATTCACGGAAATGTAATATTTTTGCAACTACAATGCTGATGTCAACACAAGCGTGGTTACAGCGAGACTGACTGAGTGAGGGAGAGCTATGCGTGTGTGTGTGAGGTTGCGGGAGCGGGCAGTGTCCCGTGTTCGGTGCCGCGCGCGATTTGAATGTACTTCAATTACTTCAATGTACAGAATATTCCTCCGGCGGGGCAATCCGCGTATTTGCAAATCCGTGAATGCTAAACCCGCGTATGTGAAGGGCCGACTGTATATTTTTCAGTGTTAAGTGGTTGTATTTGGGGGCCTGGAACGGATTAATCCTATAACGAACGAATGCTATAACGAACAAGGTTCTAGAACCAATTAGATTCGTTATAGCATACCCCACTGTATGATTAACTACTTGATTCCAGTATATATTGCATTTACATGCACAAAATCATGTTTTCCCACACAAAACCACTTTCAATAATTGTATGACAAAACTTACTTAGAAAATAAAATAAATAAAATAAAAAATTGTAAAATAAGGGTGCGTCTTATGCGGTGGTGTATCTTATATGCCGGCAAATACGGTGAGTTTTTTTTCTTTTAACAGGGATTAGCCAACCCGGGCACAGGTCACTGACCCACATCAGGGCCTGGGGGTAGTAGATATTATTATTATTATTATTATTATTATTATTATTATTATTATTATTATTATTATTATTATTATTATTATTATAATAATAAATAATAATAACAATAATAAAAATAAACTATTATTATTATAATAATTAATAAAAATTAATAACAAAATACTAAAAATAATAACCATAAATAAATACAAAAACAAAAAAAATAAATCAAGAATGAGAAACGATATGTACATTATGTATGTTGTGTTGTCCTAGTAAGAGAAACAATTGAAACCCTGCAATTGTGTGTAAATAAGGCAGAAAGTCAGGTCAGCAACCTGGGACTTGGTCACAATTTTTGTGATGCCATATGGCAGCAGGGTCTACCATTAGACAACACATTATGCTTCCAATATCTTCCCAGGCGGTAGTACCTCCCTGTTTGATAGCTGCCTACTATCTAATAGACAACACTCACCATCATCACCAACATTCACCATCATCACCAACACCCACCATTACCAACTGGTGTTTACAGGATGAGAACACATTCAACTGAGGTAACAGAGTGGCGACCTACAGGCTGGCAGAATAATCAAAGGCGCTCTATACGTTAGTAACACATACAGTACTTGTTGGCTGGAAGTTGTGGGGAGGGAGGGAATGATGCCTAATAATGATCACTACACTGCCAGGCACAAGTGAACAGGTGATATGTTTTTATTATGGATTTTCAAAAATTTTCATTATTTTCTAGTAAAAAATAGCTTGGGTCACAAATACAGTGGTCCCTCGGTTAACGAACGGTTCGATTAACGAAATTTCAGTTAACGAATTACAGGTAGTTCTGCTATAACGCGATAGTAGTGTTCTTGTAAAACATCGTGTTACAGAAATTCGTGTAATAGAAATAACAGGGCTTATGGAGAAAATAGGGTTAGGTGCAGATTACTCCAAATCGAAAAAAAATTTCGTAGTTAGCCTAACACAGATAGTGTCCTTGAAAAATATTTCTTTGTTTATTTACTATAGATATTTGTTTTAGCTCATAAAATTCATACAAATTACCCGGCCAGAATATAATTTACATTGCTGGAATTCTTACAATATGATGATCATTTTGAATATAAACATCATGGAGTTTGCATTAGACATACAAATTTTAGATCTAATGTAATAATTTGGTTTACACAAAGCAAATATTTTATCTTTTGTGCAAAATATATGAAGTTTAATTCAAAATATTCCCTAACCTGCAAGGAATCCAGAAAAGTCAATTATATTATCCTAACTTTAGTCTGAGGTATTATTTATTACTAAACGTTAAAATCTAGTGTTTTCACCCAAACATTTCTCAGAGAGGTAGGAGTTAGTGAGCTGGGAAGAGGGGGGGGGGGGATTTGAGTCCATTATTTGAATGGACATTAACCTGGAGACTGTATTTCTCTTAAATATTAATTGTGTGAGCATACCATCATAAAACTAAGATGTTATTTTTACTACAACATAGGTATTGTGTTGGAAAAAGTGGAGTTTGGGGGTCGGGCCAGTCTCTATTGGAATTAATCCCATATGTTCTGTCGTTCACTTTACGCGATTTTCACTTTCCGTGGTACCCCGTGGGTTCAATTGACCACATAAATCGGGGTACTACTGTACTAAATTTTTTTCGATTTCGAGTAATCTGCACCTAACCCTATTTTCTCCATAAGCCCTGTTATTTCTATTGCGCGAATTTCTATAACACGATGTTTTACAAGAACACAACTATCGCGTTATAGCTTTACTGACTGTATATGATATCACAATCTAAAGGTAGGAGAATTTAATTTGCATTGTTGGAATCCTTGCAACACAGCGAATAATTTGAATATAAACGTCATATATTTTGCACGAGATAAAAATTTTAGCCCTCTGTAATAAAATTAATTAGAACATGTCAGTTAAGCAACATTTTATAAGAGAAAAACTTAGTCACTCTTAAGGACAGATAAATAAATAAGCACTAGACCTTGGCATCAACTGTCAAACATATCACCTCACCTCCCCCCCATCTTCCCATCAGCTGATTGCTAGTAAACAGACCATTTCACGTCCCATAATTTTAGCTGTGTTGATTTATGAGTGTTTGTTTTAGCATTAAACTACAAAAAACAATGTTTTGTTTATTCTACGAGATGAGCTGAGGTGCATCTGGGTAGACTCTCAGTCTTTTTTAGTATTTTGTGTTTCTCTCAAGTACCAAACTAAATTATTCCATTTTAACAACACTTCGATTTAGTGCGAATTCGGTTTACAGCGACCTCTCTTGGACCATATCTTGTGTTTTATCGACGTTCTACTGTATGTGGAAATCAGTCATATAAAGAGCAAGCGCGTCAGGTAAGTTGAAAGCTACTGGGTAAATTTTTTTACGCAAGGAGGAGAGCGTTGTTTGGCTGTGAGCGTACATGGATATGTTAGTCTCACTGGCGGAGAGACTGTAAACAAGCATGGCTGCTGTCGGCAAGTCCCAAGTGTTGTCTTGTAACTCTGTTTTGTATTATGGATTGTCATAATTTTGTTCTATATTAAAAAATATCTCCAGAGGACCAAAGAGCTTTATAATAAGTCAATGTTATGCTCGGGTATTACCGTAGTTATCTGTGATAATTTGGATACAAATGGCAAGTTATTTTTTATTTAGCGGACCTGAATCCGTAATACATGAGCCGAGTCTGAATGGATCAGAGTGCCCGTTAAAGCCGAGATCCATTATAGACGGCGTCCGTTATATAGGGGTTTACTGTACATCCATTATTGGACACTTCTGTCTTCCTGTCAGCTATGCTTTGCTCTTATCTATAGCCACAATAAACACTTTTCCTTTATTCCAGATATCCAAGAAGAAGTAAAAAAACAAGGTAGCTCCCAACATACCTTCTGGGGTAGTAACAACATTGATTACTCCAGAGGAAAAACACTTTTGAAGCAGTTCTGCCTGTTCACCTTCCACTTCTCGTGTTAATTCTATCTCAGGCAAGAGACGATACCAAGCCAACCCTGGCTGGAACTTGGCATGGTCACTACCAATACCTGTTAATATGAAAGTGAGGATAAGAATTTATTGATCATCAAAATAAGGTAGCAATGCCAAAATGTAAATCATTAAAAATATCTGGCAGGATTATAAGACTACATTACAACAGTTACACAGCTAAATAACCCATTTTCAACACAATAAGCTATATTTTGGTAGCTTTGGTAAAATACTTAAAAGATAATATTATTATTAAATTTACATATACGATATATGAGGGCAACATTAAAACATGAAAATGTAAAAATTAACCTGTAAACTGCCTTGAGTGTGAGAATGGAAGTGCTATGTAATAGAAGACAAAGCCATAAATTATGAATTGTGAAATTAATTTAGCAATGAATGATAACTTCACTCCACCTGCTGACCAGCTACTTCTCCCAGTGTATTGTTTCTAAGGCTAGCTGGTATATATTGACGGATTTTACTACATAAACAGCCAATTACCATCTACCTTTAACAGCATAGGCATTCAAATGGATCTCATGTCCAGCATTCATCTTGGCCAATAAAATATCATCATGAAGGGGCTGCATACTGGTTTCCTGGAAGATATCGGTCTGGTTACCTAGAGGGACCCACTTCAGACTTGATGACAATACTGAAAGAAAACAAAATGTTAGATTCACAAACCTACTGAAAGAAAACACAATGTTAGACTCACCATTTTTCATGTTTGCATGGGTTAGCCTCCCTGTAGTTGGTTATATTCTCCACATGCCTAAACCATCTCGGCCTACCTTTATGAAAAAAATTATTACTACTCCTAATACCCAGATGCACCTCTTAGTTTTTCCAGCCTTGCTCATGCCACATGACAACCTACATACCCAGGGCACTTAAGAGTCAGCACTGCAGTTTGTCATCCACTCCACTGCACCACTTGTGAGCTCACCTTCCACACTCACTGCACCTCTTGTGAGCTCACCTTCCACACTCACTGCACCTCTTGTGAGCTCACCTTCCACACTCACTGCACCTCTTGTGAGCTCACCTTCCACACTCACTGCACCTCTTGTGGCCTCACCTCCACACTCACTGCACCTCTTGGGAGCTCACCTTCCACACTACCCTGCACCTCTTGGAGCTCACCTTCCACACCACTGCACCTCTGTGAGCTCACCTTCCACACTCACTGCACCCTTGTGAGCTCACCTTCCACACTCACTGCACCTCTTGTGAGCTCACCTTCTCCACCACTGCACCCCTTGAGCTCACCTCCACACCTCACTGCAGCCCCTTGTGAGCTCACCTTCCACACTCACTGCACCTCTTGGAGCTCACCTTCCACACTCACCTGCACCACTTAGAGCTCACCTCCACACTCACTGCACCTCTTGTGAGGCTCACCTTCCACCACTGCACCTCTTGTGAGCTCACCTTCCACACTTCACTGCACCTCTTGTGAGCTCACCTTCCACACTCACTGCACCTCTTGTGAGCCTCACCTTCCCACACTCACTGCACCTCTTGGAGCTCACCTTCCCACCTTACCTGCACCTCTTGTGAGGCTCACCTTCCACTCACTGCACCTCTTGTGAGCTCACCTTCCCACACTGCACCACTTGGGAGGCTCACCTTCACCTCCTGCACCCTGTGGCCTCACCTTCCCTCCCTGCACCTCTTGTAGGCTCACCTTCCCACCTCACTGCACCTCTTGTAGGCTCCTTCCCACACACTGCACCTCTTGTGAGCTCACCTTCCCCTCCTGCACCTCTTGTAGGCTCACCTTCCCTCACTGCACCTCTTGTAGCTCACCTTCCCCTCACTGCCTCTTGTGGCTCACCTTCCACACTCACTGCCTCTTGGGCCACCCACACTCACTGCCTCTTGTGAGGCTCACCTTCCACACTCCTGCCTCTTGTGGGCTCACCTTCCACACTCCCTGCACCTCTTGTGAGCTCACCTTCCACACTCACTGCACCTCTTGGAGGCTCACCTTCCCACACTCCTGCCTCTTGTGAGCTCACCTTCCACCTCCTGCACCTCTTGTAGGCTCTCCCACTCCACTCACTGCTCTTGGCCCTTCCCACTCCTGCACCTGCCCTCTTGTGAGCTCACCTTCCGTGAGCTCCTTCCACACTCTGCACCTCTTGTGAGCTCTCACCTTCCACCTCACTGCACCTCTTGTGGGCTCACCTTCACACTCCTGCACCTCTTGTGGCTCCTTCCACCTCCTGCACCTCTTGGCAGGCTCACCTTCCACACCACTGCACCTCTTGAGCTCACCTTCCCCACTGCTCACCTTCCCTCCACTGCACCTCTTGTGAGCTCCCTTCCCACCTCACTGCCTCTTGGAGGCTCCTTCCACTCACTGCACCTCTTGTGACTCACCTTCCACACTGCACCTCTTGTAGGCTCACCTTCACACTCACTGCCTCTTGTGAGCTCACCCACTCCTGCACCTTGTGGGCTCACCTTCCACTCCTGCACCTCTTGTGGCCGTTAGGCTCACCTTCCCACTCCTGCACCTCTTGTGACTCACCTTCACCTCACTGCACCTCTTGTAGAGCTCACCTTCCACCTCACTGCCTCTTGTGAGCTCACCTTCCCACTCACTGCACCTCTTGTGAGCTCACCTTCCACACTCCTGCACCTCTTGTGAGCTCACCTTCCCCTCCTGCCCTTGGCAGCTCACCTTCCCACCTCCTGCACCTCTTGTGGCTCACCTTCCACTCCTGCACCTCTTGTGAGCTCACCTTCCACCTCACTGCACCTCTTGAGCTCACCTTCCCCCTCACTGCACCTCTTGTGAGCTCACCTTCCCACCTCCTGCACCTCTTGTGAGCTCACCTTCCACACACTCCGCCCCCTCTTGTGGCTCCACCTTCACACTCACTGCACCTCTTGTGAGCTCACCTTCCACACTCACTGCACCTCTTGTGAGCTCACCTCCACACTCTGCACCTCTTGGGCTCACCTTCCACACTCCCTGCACCTCTTGGCAGCTCACCTTCCATACTTGCCCCTTGGGGCTCACCTTCCACTCCTGCACCTCTTGGAGGCTCACCTTCCACACTCCTGCACCTCTTGGCTCACCTTCACACTCCTGCACCTCTTGTGAGCTCACCTTCCACCCTGCACCTCTGGCTCACCTTCCCTCCTGCACCTCTTGTGAGCCCTTCCCTCCTCCCTTGGGCTCACCTTCCACATCCTGCACCTCTTGGCTCACACTCTGCACCTCTTGGCAGGCTCACCTTCCCACACTCCTTACCTCTTGTGAGCTCACCTTCACCTCCTGCACCTCTTGTGGGCTCACCTTCCCACCTCCTGCACCTCTTGTGACACCTTCCCCTCCTGCACCTCTTGTGGCTCTTCTTTGTCCTTCCACTCCTCTTGTGAGCTCACCTTCCTCCTCACCTCTGCCACACTCCTGCCTCTTGACTCACCTTCCACCTCCTGCACCTCTTGTGGGCTCACCTTCCCACACTCTGCACCTCTTGTGGCTCACCTTCCCACCTCACTGCACCTCTTGTGAGCTCACCTTCCTCCTGCACCTCTTGTGGGCTCACCTTCACCTCACTGCACCTCTTGTGAGCTCCTTCCACACTCCTGCACCTCTTGAGGCTCACCTTCCACACACTCCTGCACCTCTTGGAGGCTCACCTTCCACACTCACTGCCTCTTGAGCTCCCCCACCCTCCTCTTGTGGCTCCCCACACTCACTGCACCTCTTGGCAGGCTCACCTTCCACACTCCTGCACCTCTCTGGCTCACCTTCACACTCACTGCCTTGTGAGCTCACCTCCACACTCCTGCACCTCTTGTGAGCTCCTTCCCTCCTGCACCTCTTGGGAGGCTCACCTTCCCACCTCACTGCACCTCTTGTGGGCTCCACCTTCCACACTCCTGCACCTTGTGAGCTCACCTTCCCCCTCCTGCCTCTTGTGAGGCTCCTTCCACACTCCTGCACCTCTTGTGAGCTCACCTTCCCCTCCTGCACGCAGGCTCCTTCCCTCCTGCACCTCTTGTGGCTCACCTTCACCTCCTGCACCTCTTGTAGTCCCTTCCTCTCTTGTAGGCTCACCTTCCACACTCACTGCCTCTTGTGGGCTCACCTTCCACCTCCTGCACCTCTTGGGCTCCTTCCCACTCTGCACCTCTTGGGGCTCCTTCCCTCCTGCCCCTTGGGCTCACCTTCCCCTCCTGCCTCTTGTGAGCTCACCTTCCCTCTCTGCACCTCTTGTGGGCTCCTTCCCACTCCTGCCTCTTGTGAGCTCACCTTCCACACTCTGCACCTTGGGCTCGCCTTCCACTCCTGCCTCTTGGGCTCACCTTCCCTCCTGCCTCTTGTGAGCTCACCTTCCACACTCCTGCCTCTTGTGGCTCACCTTCCACCTCACTGCCCAGGCTCACCTTCACCTCACTCACCTCTTGGCTCCACCTTCCCTCCCTGCACCTCTTGTGAGCTCACCTTCCCTCCTGCTGCACCTCTTGGCAGGCTCCTTCCTCACTACACCTCTTGTGAGCTCACCTTCCACACTCACTGCACCTCTTGTGAGCTCACCTTCCTCTTCACCTCTTGTGAGCTCACCTTCCACACTCACTGCACCTCTTGTGAGCTCACCTTCCACACTCACTGCACCTCTACATACAATGAGATTGATATACCACGTGGAACCGATGCTGCTTCCCCATTTATTGTGTGTAAATAGATTCACACTCAAGACACTGCCCTCAGACCCTGTCCTCCTGATTAACTGGTGCTGACATTTCTGTGGCTAAGCGCATCTTAAAATTGGTAAATTCTCCATAATCGAAAATTGTGATTCCAAGATGCCAAATTCCAGCTTCTTTACTCATAGGTCAAAAGCAGAAGAGATGCTGGTGACGAGCAAACGTTTCACAGACTGAAGACTCAAGACGAAAAAAATTTGTTGAATGCATCTTCCAGAAGCCATATTGATAAGGTGAAAGAAGGGCATTCTTCTGCTAGTATGCCAGTCGCGAGTTGATTATGTTTTCAAACCACTGCGATACAGTACAGGAGGTCAGCTATGGGGAGATATTCTAGTGGGTGAAGACCCTCTTTTCCAGTCTTCTTGAAAGGCAGGTCAGTAGCCTCCCACCATGGGGCTGAAGCACCCGCTTGCCAGATCCTGTTATATGGCTACAAGAGAAAGGTCTGTGCCTTAACTTAAAGGAGGCAGAGCATTGAAAATGGGAATTATCAGGCCCTGGTGATGTATCTCCAGTGAGTGAGAGGATGGTTCTCATTTCTTTCATTGACAACATAATGTTGTACGTCCAGGGCCTGTGACTCCTCTACTTTACACACCCAATTGAACTCCGAGGATCAAGCTGCCATAGAAGACACCCCTATATATGTTGTCGCAAAAAGTTCAGCAACTTTTTTGGGGCAGCAACTGAGCTGCCACCATTAGCCCTGAGAACTGGGGAAGGATTAGATGAAAAATTGCCTGCTATATTTTGCACACGTTTTCATACCTGGGAAAAGGGATTTTTTTTTCATTTAGAGAGGAGACATAAGAAGAAAAGGACTGGCAGGAGCATAGGCTCAGGCCCGTTTGTATTTCCACATGATATAATTCTGTCCTTTTATGCAGTCACCATAAGGTCTGTGCTGCTCGACAACTGCCT